AAAATGATTATACAGAAAACGGAAAGATGAGGAGGATATACATTATTTGCTGCTTCAAATAGTAAATGTAAATGATGTGTCGATTAACTCGTTTGATTTTTAAGCACTGTCCTTTTTTTGATAACTTGTTTATAACCATTGTCTCGTTGTAAGTTTCAACAGTATGTTCCGCTAGGCCGTCTAATTGGTAACTAAGGAAGGCGGTGTAACTATCATTTTCACTCTATATGTACAACAGTTTGTTCATTTGTTGGCGGTAGATGTTAATTATTCACAATTTGATATCCCATTCATCTTGTATTCTCTACTGAAGAAAACCAACTAAACATTCACTTCTCTAGTTATTTCAGTTCGATTTCGTCTTTATTAACGAGATTTCTCCCCCTGAATCATATTCCAAACCATCGATTTTATCTACGCTGATATCGCATCCACATTCAATACTTCTCAGTATCATTCTCAGTTCAATTCGAGGAGTGTCAAGAAGAACGACCTTGTACGTTAATTTCCTTTTTCAATGGATATGAAAACTAAGTGAGAACTATATTGAAGAATGCGGTTAGAATGGATATGAAAATGTTGAGCAGGTACGTGGAAATGGAGATTATATACATGCGATTGCGAATATAGTAGGAAATGAGTTTTGACATGTAAGAAACCAACCACCAATGTATGATCTTCATTATTGCGTACCATGCACTCGAAAAAAACTCCAAATTTCATGTGGTAAGAAAATTACGTTCCAAGATGTTTGTTCACTATCCCCAACAATCATATGGTATATGATAGACACATACATTGTTGTAGCTTGCATGTTTAAAATCAGATTTTACAAGTAGGTATGTAATTTGGGTAAACAAATATACATGCATGGAGAGAATAATATAAATTTGAAGACATCGAGAGAAGGGTATAATACGACTATAGAGGCTAGCGACTGAAGGCAACAGAGAGACAGACACCAAGGATAAGCCATGCCCCAATGAAGTATCCCAGTATCCTCGTCGGTCCTACATCTTCTGGTTCCTGTCCATTCCGAAACAATCCAACTAAATCTGTGAGTTTATAAATGCATACAACAAAACCATTCAACATTTCATAACCGGAGTAAAAACAGAACGGTACCTGAGGCGGTGGCTCTTCCCTGGACGGTTCCATGATGTCAACCTCGAATGGCCAGATGTACCGCTCTGCTTTTTCGCTTCTAGCTAGACTCCAATCGTACATTCTTCTCTCTTCCACAGTCGACAAGATCGTATACGAATCCTAAAAAAATCCATATTCTTTTATATATCACTCTCACAAAGATGATATGGGAAAATTACAAAAAGGCTTTGGTTTTTTTATTTATTTCAGTGATACTGACTTTAATAAGATCCATCTTGATCTTGAGTTGTTCTTCGTCTAGGCCTTGTTCCTTTAACTCCTTAACTCTTTCTTTGTAACCAATTCTAACCTGATACCAAAAATTCAATAACTTCATTTGCTACTTGAAGAATTCGAAGCTAATCCTTCAATATCAAACGTCATTGTTCCCAATTGGATCTAAATCACAAGAGATCGAAATCGAGTAACCAAAAAAACTGACCTGATCATAAGAACAATTTCTGGAAAGCCCAAGCCGACCGTAGTGATCCACATCTGTAATCGCTGCATTTCTAATCCAAAACTCCATCAGTTTTCCAATCGCATCGGATATTCAAAACGAGAAGAAGAGAGAGAGAGAGGGTTTACGAAGGCCACGGAGAGCACGTTCGACGTTGAGAGCTGAGATTAAAGATGGAGAATCTGTAGGTGCTTCATCCACGGCGGTGCTAGATCCACCGTCGGTTTCTGCCTCCGCCGATTTCTCACCGGAATTCCTCGCCGGCGAACAGATCATCATCCGCTTCGTGATGGTTGTTGGCTTCCACGGGAAAGAGCTCGTGCTTGGTACGTGATGGAGGACGGATTCGCCGGGAATGTGAACTAACGACGGTTGAGTGATCATCGTCGATAAGGAAGCCATGGCTCAAAGGTTAACACAGAAAAAGCAGAAGATTTCGAATTTTATTTGATTAAACGGATACAAAATTGTGTCAACCATAGAAAAATACTCGATGTGGATAAATCATGAAGTCCACAAAAATTAGTTAATATACTGAACTCTTGTTGAACTAACAACAAAGTCGTTGTAGTATAGTGGTAAGTATTCCCGCCTGTCACGCGGGTGACCCGGGTTCGATCCCCGGCAACGGCGCAATTTTTTTTTCTCCTATTTTTTTATAATTAGTTTTCGAAACGATGTCGTTTATCTTACTTTACTTTTTTACTTCGTTATTGTAAACGACGTAGTATAAAAGCCAAGATAGTAAATCACTGTAGTAAAAGCAACCCATTTGGTACTTTTGCACAAATTGTTGGACATGATACAACACAATCTACAATTGAAGTCCTCCAGATATAACAACAATATCTTACTTCACATGCTTCGATATGTACAGAGTCAATCCCATGATTTTGTCACTACTATTTTATTAAAAGAATTGAGTCTTGAAAATAAAAAAAATACCAGAAAACAAAAGATAAATTTAACCAGACTTGAACCAGTCTTGTTTCTTATATGTTGTTTTTATCAGAGCTCTCGCCGGATTTCCAAACTACATCGTTAAGTGTGGTCGAGAGCTTCTTGTAGAACTGCAAAGAAAATAGATGAACAGATATAAGAAACGGTAGAAAGAACATCTTCTCCGCAGAGTCGAAAATAGGATATTGGTACCTTATGGAACTCTAATGTATCCCCTTTTGTTTTCCGGACTTCGATCATATGGAGAGACGGTGATACTTGAAATATCTACATGATCATTTTAAGGTTAGATCATTTTTCTTTTTCCATTTCCATGTCAATTGAGATCCAGATACTAATGTAATAAAAGCAAAGAGTAATGTGTGCATATTGTACCTCAGTCGCCACTCTTAGGTTTCCCTTCCTTCCCGCAGTAACGTTTTCAAGTCTCATCTGTGTACACAATAATTAGAATCATAAAGGAAACTTCCACACCGCGAGAAAGTGATCAACAACAATGATGATATGTTAATTCTTTTATGATTCTAATTAACATATCATCAGGAAGGAGGTTGAGGATTTCTTACTAACAGGAAGGAGGTTGGTGAGGTAAGGGTCTATTGGTTTATACCGAGGGATACTCTAACAGGGAAGCCGTTTATAACAAAAGAGAGACAATGTCAATAGCTGTGAGGTTTTCACACGATCAGTTTACCTTATAGTTTTTCTTTTGAATATCAAAACCAAGAGGCTTAGAAGCTTCTTCAATCTTCTGGACTAAATCATTAGCAGCGCCTTTAGCGGCAAATCTTGTTTCTCTCTTGAATCCCTGCAAGTTAAACGGTATAGACATCATTAATTAAAATATAACGTGGGGAAGTTTTACCCCTGACGTGATCTATATATCTGCAGCTATGACCAGGAAACAGTGTTTGTTCAAGGATTCAAGCAAAAACACATTGTTAGTCTAAGAGACACACCTCTTCTTCTTCGAACAAATTCCCGAGATCCAGAGCTCTCGACATTGATATCAACTCAAAGGCATTCATAGAAGTTGGTTGCTCCTCTTTCTTTTCTGTGACATGATGCTCCTGTACATAAGTTACAGACCGTTATGGACATTTATTCAAGTATTTAAAAAGGAAAAAACAGATTAACCATCTTACAGATGCCAGATTAAATAAACATTACTCACTTCTGAATCTTTAAAAACAGCATTCACATCATCCAAGTTTGCTTCCTCTTTCTCCTCGAAAACAGCTGGCTTGTAATTTTTCTTGAACCACGCATCTTCCAGAATCTCTGGGATTGTGATACGCTGTCATATTAACACACAGTCAAATTAACGATGAATGGAGTTAATTTATCCTCATATGTTTTGAACTATCAAGTTTTACATGCAAAAGACACCGATATAGGCGACAAGAGTAAAGAGCCACAGAGGAATATACAAATACTTTGATAGAAAAAGTAGACAAAAGAGATTGCAAAGGTAAACTCCCCGCAAGGAAAACTTTATACAAAGTATTCCCCAACTTGTCTCTCAGTAGAAAAATGATTACTACCCTATTGCCATTCAAGAGCCTATTAAATAGGAAAACCCCCCAAAACCCAAAATTGGAAAACAAAATAGCCCCTTAGTCAAATCATGATTAAGATACTAAATTAAACAATAGAAATCAATCATCACCACATCATTACTGAATATCTATGATAAAGCAACCGCTAAGTATATAACCAAACAAGTGCGCGCATTTAAGAAAGATTATAATAAATCAAACAGCAGTAGCTCATTTTAGGTAGATATCTGCAGAAAAAAATATTTAACAAGATTGAAAACTTAAAAACCACACTTTTTAGCGATATCAAGGGCTTCAAATGCCTTACTTTTGCTTTCTAATCTGTTTGTTATGGCCACAAAATTAATTGGGACTGATTTCACGTTTCGCGACTGAATTTATTAACGAGTAAATGATGCTCTCTACATATGCAGATTGATTTATTTGAAATCAAACCTAATGCTAAAAAAATCACAAGACAAACAATTAACTGCCACTATGTTGGTTATTTGTTCAGTCATAATTTTCCACCAGATACCTGGTAAGCCCTAACCCGTCTAATTGTCTAAGAACAGAAACAAGATGAGATTGTTGGGGTTTGAACAAAAGACTAATAGATTAAATTTTGAAAGCAGTATTAAACCAAAATATCTTACAGTCATAGGGTTTGGATCCAAGACTCGGATTATCAAGTTCCTGGCACCAGGAGATAGCCATGGAGGACAATGATATTCACCAGCTGTTATCTGAAAAGTGACGAAATTACAACTTAGAAAGAGGAATCATAGATAATGGGTGAAGGATGAAGCCTCAGAAAAAATTACAAAACTTCTTACCTTCTTATACAGAGTCATGAGATTAGAATCCTCGAAAGGCAAGTACCCAGCAAGTAGTACAAAGAGTATCACTCCACAGGACCACAAGTCTGCAGTTGCCCCGTCATAGCCTTGATCATTAAGAACCTTGGACAAGAGCAACATTGAAGCTATTAGAAAGACGGTGCAAAAACCGCATGAGATGCCACACATGACTTAGCATACCTCAGGAGCAGCATAGTTTGGAGTTCCACATGCAGTGTGAAGAAGACCATCACCCTGCCAAAACCAATTAAGTCTTATAAGCTGAGAAAGCCAATGAACATTTCATACACAGAAGAACAGGCACGGCTTGGAACTACACAGAATAAGAAGGAATTTTTCGGCTATAATATCTACTACCGTTGAAAAGAATCTAGAAAGACAAGTCCTATTGTATTATGCCAAATCTTATAAGACTTTAGTAAATGCAATCAATAAAATACTACTGAACTTCAGGCACATGCATTGAATAGGGCAAGGAAAAAATCAGTGGGAATTCAGGCAAACCAAAGGCTGCTAAGAAAAAAAGTTAAGTGGCTACCCTGACTTGTCGAGACAAGGCACTCAATCCAAAATCTGAGACTTTCAGATTTCCTTGAGCATCTAGAAGCAAGTTTTCCGGCTGCAGTGAGAGAAAAATAAAGAAGACAAATATTAGCACCAATTAGCTGCACTTAAGAAAACACATACTGCAAACTCGGGCTCAAGATTTACCAAAAACATCTCATGTACCTTTAAATCTCTGTGGTACACTCCCCTGCTGTGGCAGTAATCAACTGCATTGATAAGCTGCTGAAAATATTTCCGTGCTGCCTCTTCTCTCAAACGCCCATCATGTACCTGCACAAGTGTAGACTTAATGCAAAAGTTAAACATCAGAAAAAAGAAAATATTTCAGCTGTAAAATACTAGGACATTTATTAAGATTCACCCGGAGCTTAGCATGAGGCATTTGATACATGATTCAAACACCAAAAGACAGTTCAGATACAAGTTATAAAGCCCTTGGGAGGGATAAGGAAACCTTACAATTTTGTCGAAAAGCTCTCCACCAACACCGAATTCTAGGACAATATATATCTTCGTCTTGCTAGCCAAGACCTGGAACAATATCAATTATTTTCTTAAAAGTTAGCTTTCAACAGATTTGCTTCGCTTTGAAAGAGCTCTTTATTTGCTAGACATAAGCAAGCCAAAGCAAAGTAGAGACACATAATATACCTCATACAGCCGCACTACATTTGGATGGTTTATCAGCTTCATAGTACAAATTTCTCTCCTTATCTGTAAAATCAAAGGGGCAAGACACACATCATACTTTTTGGATTGAAGACGTATCTATAGTTTAGAAAACACGATTTACTTCTAGAAATGAAAACTGGCAAAGAGGAGGCATGAAAATTTTATAGGGGAAAGTGAGTTTTACCTGTTCAGCCATCTTGTGCTTGAGAACTTTCTCTTTATCAAGAATTTTAAGAGCAACGGATTCTCCCGTCTCAGTATCCTTAGCATACCTCACTTTCGCAAAAGTGCCTTGTCCAATTGTTTTCCCAACCTCGTATTTTCCAACACGACGCTGGACCTTTGGACGATTCATCGCTCTAAGCTCACCTCTTGATCTTCAAAAAGCTGTTTCTCGAAAATGTAGTTTCGATATTAGACGTTCTCTTCGCTTCTTTGTAAGAATTCCAACAGAACAAGCAACAGAATGTTTCTTCTCTCAATTTCTAAGAAACTAATAAATGTAAAAGAGGACAAAGAAACCGTCAAGAAAAGAAACACTAATATATGACACAAGCCAATGACAAATCTAGCAGCAGAACTTTTTCCCGGAATTCTCGATATCGTCCTCTCTTGGTATACTTCCTCAACAAGAGTCCAAAATCCCCCAGAATCATGACGTATATACATACCCAAAATCCTCAACTAACCAATAACTTTTACACAATTGAAGTGAGATTCTCGAGTTAGCTAAGATAT